AAGTGTCAATGACCGGGTCAAGATGCCCTACACGGATGCTGTAATCCATGAGATACAGAGACTGCTTGACTTTGTACCCATGGGTGTCCCCCACAAAGTCACCCGAGACACCCACTTCCGAGGCTACCTTCTGCCCAAGGTGTGGTTTCAGCTTCATTGCCACCTCATGTCACCCTCTCCTACATCCCTCCGTCCTCCCGGATCCCTAGCCCCACAATCCAGTACTGATTTCTCCTAACTCCCCCCACTTTTCACCTCAGGGCACAGATGTATTTCCGATGCTTGGCTCAGTCCTCAAGGACCCCAAATACTTCCGCTACCCAGATGCCTTCTATCCCCAACATTTTCTGGATGAGCAGGGCCGCTTCAAGAAGAATGAAGCCTTTGTGGCTTTTTCCTCTGGTAGGTTTCCATGGCTCAGATCTCCTGAAACCAGGTATGTGCTGGGTCTACCCTCCAGCCATTGCTCTGTATTTGAAGCTTAAGTCAGAATGGTAACTTGAAGGTTCTATCATAGAACCCCAAAATTTTAGAATCCCAGAATCAGGGAAAAATAGAAACTTTGACTCAGATAATTAGAAAAAAGGGTAGATAAGGAGTAGCACTAAACAGGGGTCAGCAAACTTTCTGTTTAGAACCAAATAAAAAATATTTTTCTTGTTTCATTTTTCCGGCCAGATGGTCCCGTTGCCATTTTACTAGCCAAGCAGCCATAGACAATTTTTTAGTGAATGAGCATGTACGTGAACCAGCCCTGAAACTTGAAATTTCACATATCACAAAATATTTTTCTTCTTTTGTTATTTTTTCTTAATCATTGTAAAAGGTAAGAAGCATCTCTAGTTTGGAGGCCTTATGAACACAGACAGCAGGGCAGAGTCACCCAAAAGGCAGTGGCTTGCCCACCTGAAGCATAAAATTTTTGTGGGAAGGCATTTTACTTCTGTGTCAGTAAGGATACAGAGTCAGGTCAGTGGCTGGGAAACTGGACCTCACCCCACCACAAACAAACTGTGGCACCTCAGGTGAGTTACTTCAGCCCCCCATCTGCGAAGTGGAGATTACCCTCTCCCAACAATCGGACTGGGCATTACCAGGAGTAAGCATTATTGAAGTGAGAGCTCTCACTTTTTTCCTTACCGGTGTCTGACACATGAAAGGCATTTGATAAACCTTTGAGGAACTGGAATGAACACAATGATCCTTTAAAAACATTCAATCTCAGAATGGGAGTAGGTTCAGCCATCAGAGAAGTAGCTGCCTCTTGTTGGGTCCCTACAAGTGGCAGGTCCTAGTAACTCCTAAATATAGGAACCTATTAAGCTTTTACAACAATCGTTTATAAATGGGTACAGTCACCACCCCGAAAATGCTACTGAGGCTCAGTGGGTGGTGAATCCACGTGTTCCCGACGCCTCTGTCCCCTGTGCAGGTGTGACATTCCTTTCTATCCTCCCTTGTGCCCACAGGAAAGCGCACATGTCTGGGCGAGGCCTTGGCACGCATGGAACTCTTCCTTTACCTCACCTCGGTCCTTCAGAACTTTTCTCTACGTCCCCTGGTGCCGCCTGCTGATATCGACGTCACTCCCAAGCTGTCTGGCTTTGTCAACGTCCCCTCGCCCTATGAGCTGTGCCTCGTGGCTCGCTGAGCGCCCCCTACTGGGCGAGAAACGAACAGCAAAGAACAGAGCTTGGCTCTCACGACGTAAACCCATCCTCTTCATCTTGCTCATTCTCACATCTCTACAAGAAGGCACCATTTTTCCTGTCACGGGTCCCCAATCAGCTAGGGTGATTTCAAACTATGCAGTTGTAAATCTTCTACATGCAGAGGGAAAGCGATGCCCTGCCCCAAATGTCCCCCTAAGCTTGCAACTTTGATGCTGACTTGATCACGTCTGCCTAAGTTTCAATCTGAACCAAAATTTTCTTGTTGATTCTACGTCTTTACAATTGACCCTTTCCGTGTGGGCCCTGATAATGATCAAATGTGATCTACAGTCCTTTCTCATCTTGACTCTCTTCTTCACTCACTAGCTGCCCAAAAGTCAACAAAGAATTTAAGACTCTTCAGTGTGCAGCATTTTTATTGTGTATTTGTGTGTGACACCAATGTGGGGCACGGGAAACAACTTGAAATGGGCATTTTAACCTCTTTTTCACTGTCTTCCCTGCCAGCCCCCTCCAGTGATTGCCCTCTGATTGGGGCTCTCCTGAAACACCCCAGCCTCACCCATTTTGCTGACATACTACCTTTCCCCACCATCACGTCTTCTCAACTTGCTTTTCTGGTTGCTCCCACCACAGCTCCCCATTCCAAATACTCCCCATACCATTTTGAAGACAGTTCAATTGTTCACAACTTCTAGTATTCCATTTCCAAATTCCATCAACTTGATCAACTGATGAAAACCTTCCTTCATGTTTCACTCATTCAACCAAAATTTATTGAATACCAAACAAACTCCAAGATACTTACTCTTCATTGATACATCATTGAGCAAAAAAGATAAAAAAAAACTCCTGCCTTTGTAGAGATTACATTCTCGTGAGTGTAATCGCTTTTTTAAAACATAAAAGTAACAAATAATCAAGGGATATAGTGTATTAGAAAAGCAATGCAGGGAGCTGGGATATACTTTCTGTGCTTGGGTGCTTCATAGCATAATTGCAGATATCTGGGAAGGAGATAGAGCAGCAAGCTTAAATATGTGGGGTTGTCTTCCTAACAGAATGACTAAAAACAGGAGGCAGAGCAAGATGGCAGACTAAAAATATCTCCTTACTAGCCACTCTTGGCAAGGCAGAGGAAAGAAAACTCCAGCTATCTCTGGCTGGGAGAACCTACCTAGATACCTCACTCTGGCAGCACAGTAAATCAGTGGTGGAGCCAGTCAAGAGGTCTGGAGCTGAAGAAAAGCAGCACAGAAGGCAAGGATGTGGGAACAAGCAGCCTGCTCACAGAGAACTGGAGACAAGATGGAGCTGCCTGGCACCTTTTTGATTTGGGGATAATCTACTTATTGGAGCAGCCTTGGAAGGCTTAAATGAGTGGGTGACCTTGAAAAATGTCCAGTGGTTGGGTTTGAAACCAGGTGAGGTGGATCCCCCCACCTACTAGTGGGCAGCCATTGGTAAGAGTTGTGTAGGAGAAATGGTCTGCAGGGTCTTAGTGAAGGACTGGCTCTGGTGTGCCTGCTGAATTCGGGCATCCACTTTTAGGGTGAACTGAGCAGCTCCTGCACCCCCAGGGGTGGTTGTCAGGGGGTACTGTGAGACCTTCCTCCTATGGATTCTGGTGAGAGCTTTAAGGCCCCAACCCTGTGGGGACTGAATGCTGATGAAACAACCAGGCATTGATTGAGGGCAATTAAGTCAGGAAGACAGGACCCACTCAGCAACTAGAGTGGTTTCCTGTACTCATTGTTCCCAACAAAACCAGTGTGTGTTCTCCATCTCCTAATCACAGAGCACCATCTGGTGTCCAGAGATAGATAGATAGAGATAGATAGATAGATAGATAGACAGAGATAGAGATATATATTTTCTTTTCTTCTTTTTTGTTGTTGTGGTTTTTGTTGTTTTGGGTTTGGGGGGAGTTTTTTGGTTGGTTGGATTTTTTTCTTTTCATTTTTACTTTCTTCAATAGCAGGGGCTCTCTCATTTTTTATTATAGTTTTTCAGCCTCTTTTACTCTGTCTTTCTTCTTTATTTCTCTCCTTTTTTTATCTCTTTAGGTAGAGGTTCTTCTACTTTTCTTATCTTTCCCACATAAATCTTTCATAAAAAAGCTAACATATCCCTTTTTTCTTTGTCTTATATAATTGTATTTCTAAATTTTCTTTTTTGTTATTTTTCTTTCCTTTTCTCTGAGGGCTGAAGGGTCGGTCACAGCAAGAGTCTGGCTGGGGGATCATGGCAGGGATCCAGCTCAAGGAGGCCACAAGCTCACAGTGCAGGGTATCATTCTAGCTTTGGCCTCTGGAAAGATAGTATTGTCAGGTCCCCACTGCAACATACTGCTCTATTTTTCTTTCCCTTTCTATATTTAGAGAAAGGTAAGGAGCTCCTGGCTCCAAGGGACATGCCTAACCCATGTCCCAAAGTGCTGGAGTTGCAGGTATGGCAATTTCAAATACAGACCTCTTCTACAGGTTGCCAATCAGTTCACCCAAGGCCATTTGTTAAACAGGGAGTCTTTCCCCCACTGAATGTTTTTGATAGGCTTAGCAAAAATCAAATGACAATAGGTGGTTGGGTTCATCTCTTGGTACCCAATACTATTTTTTTTTTTT